TTTGACAGCTTTAACTGGGGCAAGAGGAGAGTAGAGGAATTACAGGAGGCAGATGGAAGCAGGAAGTTGGAAACCAGCCTGGGCCTCCTGCCAGCAATGGGGAGGGTGTAGCCAAAGCAGGAGTTGGAGGGCCAGGAGTTCTGGGCTGAGAGTGATCTTTGGGCCTCCACCCTGGGGAAGGAAATTGAGCTGCTGTGGGGCTAGTCCCCAGAGTGGTAGTGGAAGGTAAGACTCATTTCTTAGAACAGGACAGGGGAGGTGAGCCTAGGGGGCGTCCAGGAGAGAACTAGATACCAAGGATGGCATTTGGGGTTGGGCTGGGACCTGGTTTTCTCCAGCTGGTCTGAGTGCTTTGCATTGCCAGGGCACGTGTCTGTGCTGACCTTCTCTCATCCCTTCCCCACCCAGTGCATCGTGAGTGTCGCTGGCGGGGCCACTCGAGCTGCCCTGACTGTGCACCAGGCCCGGAGGAACAACATGGCTGACGTGTCAGCAAAGGACAGCAGCCAGGTGAGCAGCAGGGCTGGAGGGAGGGCGTGGGGTAGGGAGGGGAATGCCCTGGAGGGCCCAGGAACACACAGGAAGACATGTGGGTGCTCCCTGCTGACTCTGAAGACACGCAGGCAGGAGTAGGGGTTTGGGCCCTGGTGGCAGCAAGTCCGAGCTGATCTTAGGCTCTGCCCACCACCTGTGTAGTTGAGAGCAAGCCCTTGGCCTTGCCATCTCCAGACCCCACCTTTCAAGCTGGATGTTCTGATCACATGCGGCCTCACATGTCAAGGCAGTTGGGAAGTCAGAGGCACCCAGCATGTGGGGTTGCTGGGTCACTGGCTGGGGCCTCCACTCAGCAGTTTAGCAGGCCTGCTGGCCCAGCCCCTCTACCCGCCCCAGGGAGCCTAGAGTCAGGGTAGGGACACCCCTAAGGCTAAACCCTGCATGGATTAGAGCTCTGCAAACCCTGTGCTGAGCACTTAATATGTGCACTGCATCACCTAACTCTCATGCCTGTCATCCTAGCACTTTGGGAGGCCAAGGTGGGAGAATCACTTGAGGCCAGGAGTTTGAAACCAGTCTGAGCAGCCCATCAAGACCCCATCTCTACAAAACAAATGAAAGAAACATTAGCCAGGTGTGGGGGTGCACACCTATAGTCCCAGCCTCAAGCCTAGGAGGTGGAGGCTGCAGTGAGCCTTGATCACACCACTGCACTTCAGCTCAGGTGACAGAGCAAGACCCTGTCTCAAAAACAAACAAAACTCACACCAACCCTAAAGTGAGGTAGGTACACTTTATCCCTGGTTTACAGATGAGGAAATGAAGGCCCTGGGAAGTCCCAGCAGTGTGAGATGGTTTTCTCTGACACTGAAGCAACTTAGAAACTGCTGTTCTATGCATTCCTACTTTCTGGCCTTCTCTTCCATTGTTTGGCTCAATAATCTTAACCCAAGCTAATATTTATTAAGCACTAACCATGTGCCAAGTATTTCATTTCTGGAAACTCATTAATTCTCACAGTGAGCGTGTGCAGTAATTGCTCACGGTTGCCTTAGAACAGAGAAGGAAATAGAGTATGGAGAGGTCTCATCTCCCTGGGAACCGCTGGGCAAGTCCCTTCTCTCAGGAGACACTCGGCTAATTCCACCCACCGTCCCTTCTGGACCTAAGTCCACAGGCTGTTAAAGAGCAAGAAGGAAGCACAGCCCAGGCCCCTTACCACAGGACTCCCAGCTCCATGCCTGCTGTCCCTCACCTGCTCTCTCGCTGACCCCCAGCCCTCTCCCTAACCCCAAGCCATTTTTCCCAAGGCCACAGGGCTTCCTCAATCCACAGAGCCGGTGACATATCCAGGACTAACCTGGGAACATGTCAGTCCCGTAGCAGCCCCCAGCTTTCTGCAGATTCAGCTTTGCTTTCACTAGATGTAGCCACTGGAAATGATTCTTCCCACCTGGGAGAGAGGAGGTCACTCTGCTCCTGAGCTCCTACGGTCCCTGATCTCCAGTTTCCTGCCACACCCACAGCTTTTATTTCCACAGCACACGCCCTTGCCAGGAGGGCTGGGTGAGAAGAGCTCTTCAGCCTCAGGTCCTCTCTGTGCCAGGACCAGTTCTCCCTAGGAGCCCAGTTAGTCAGGGGCACCAGTCCAGACTCCTTCCTCATGATGAGTTGGGGGCAGGTAGCCTGGGGTCTCTTTCCCCAGGGTGATCTCAATCCAGCCATCAGAGTGTTCTCATCACATTGATACGCAAGGGAAGAGGTGTGGGTCTTGTTCCTTCCCTGGTGATTCCTTGACCACTTTGCAAATTTATCTGCCCCTTATTGCATACCAAGGGAGCTTCAAGGGAGGGGAGCAGTCAGCTTTTTTAAATCAGTAAATAAAAGTTCTTCCAGCTCATGCCTTTCATCCCAGCACTTTGGGAAGCTGAGGGGAGGAACACTTGAGCCCAGGAGTTTCAAGATCAGCCTGGGCCATATAGCAAGACCCATCTTTACCAAAAATTGTAGTAATAATTAGTAGAGGTGTGGTGGCAGGATCACTTGAGCTCAGGAGTTTGAGGTGGCCATGAGCTAAGATTGCACCACTGTACTCCAGCCTGGGTGACAGAGCGAGACGCTATCTCTAAAAAAAAAAAAAAAAAAAAAAAAAAAGCACTCACATTAGTGAGTGCCTGAGTGTGGAACTATTCTGGTGACTTGCAAAACAAAGAAGACATGTTCAAGGGTATTCCAAGGACATTGTACCTACCAGGGCAAAGAAGCAACTGACACACATATATATTTAGACAGGGTCTCACTGTGTCTCCCAGCCTGGAGTACAGTGTTGCAATCATGGCTTACTACATGACCTCTTGGGCTCAAACAGTCCTCCTGGCTCACCCTCCTGAGTAGCTGGGAATACAGGCACATGCCATCACACCCAGCTAGTTTTTTTGTATTTTGAAGAGTTGGAGTCTCACTATGTCACCAAGGCTGGCCTCGACCTCCCGAGCTCAAGCAATCTTCCCACCTCAGCCTCTCCAGTAGGTGGGACTACAGGTGCACACCACTATACCTGGCTAATTTTTAATTTTTTTTTTTTCGTCTTTGGAGATGGAGTCTTGTTCTGTTGTCCCGGCTGGAGTGAAGTGGTATGATCTTGGCTCACTGCAACTTCTACCTCCTGGGTTCAAGCAATTCTCCTGCCTCAGCCTCCTGAGTAGCTGGGACTACAGGCGTGTGCCACCATACCTGGCTAATTTTTTGTATTTTAGTAGAGACAGGGTCTCACTATGTTCAGCCTAGGCTGGTCTTGAACTCCTGAGCTCAGGCAATCTGCCCACCTCAGCCTCCAAAATTGCTAGTATTACAGGCGTGCGCCACTGCACCGCATCAAATTTTAAAACTTTTTTGTAGAGAGGGTCCCACTGCGTTGTTCAGGCTGGTGTTACTCCTGGACTCAAGTGATCTGCCTGCCTCAGCCTCTCAAAGTGCTGGTACTACAGGTGTGAGTCACCTCAAGCTGGCAAATGACAGTTCACTCACCAAAAACTAAAAATTTATCCCCATTGCACTAGGCAACCCTGGGAGGTTGTGGAGCAGGGAGGATGGGATAAAAGGCACTTAGGTGTACTGAGTCTGGCCTAGAGGGCACCCTCCAACTCCTAGCCCCTCTGCCGTTTTCCAGGAGACACTGGTGAACCTGGCGGGGCTCCTGGTCAGCCTCCTGATGCTCCCTCTGGTGTCAGGTTTCCCTGGGTAAGCTGGGAGCAGAGTGGGCAGGAGAGCCCCAGCTGGGCCTCTGCCCGCCTCGGCTACCTCACTCTCTCGCCCCAGCTTCAGCATCGGATGTTTCTTCTTCCTCACTGCCCTCCACATCTACGCCAACTACCGTGCAGTCCGAGCCCTGGTCATGGAGACGTTGAATGAAGGCCGGCTCCGGCTGGTCCTAAAGCACTACCTTCAGAGGGGAGAGGTGCTCGACCCCACCACAGCCAACCGCATGGAGCCACTGTGGACAGGTGACCCCACCCCGGTCTCGGGTCCTGTGTCTCAGCCTCTCCCACTGCCTAGGTGTCCTGACCCCAGCTTCCCACAGGTTTCTGGCCAACTCCGTCTCTATCCCTGGGGGTCCCCCTACACCGCTTGGTCTCCAGGTGAGTGGCCTGGCATCTCCTACTCATCACCACCGCCACCCACGCTCCCCAAACACGCCCCTCACTCCGGTTACACACTGGCCTCCCTGGCAAGGCCCTCCCTCTCCGCTGGGTTCTTCATTGCTGCTGAACAGGCGTGGGGTCATTGTGGGTGTGTGAGGGAGGAAAGGGTATAAAACATGAAGCAGATGTAAGGGATGTGTTTGGTGGGTGAGGGAAGGATGGGCAAATGGGGAGGATGGACATGCCTGCATACAGGAAGAAAGGATGGATTTGGGGGTGTGGGTAAGGCTGAGGGGTAGAGGAAGTGAGGGGGCCTGGGTGAAGCATAGATCATTTTGGTTCACCATGGGTGGCTATTCAGTGGCTGGATGGGCACGCCTGCCTTTGCTGTCCTCCACCCCCACTGCACTCTCCTCTCTCCGCAGTGTCTTTGAGCTGCAGCAGCTGGTTGAGGGGCACCAAGAACCCTACCTCCTCTGCTGGGACCAGTCACGAAGTGAGTGTACCTTGTTCTCCCAGCCTAAGATGCACCCTCCTGGGTCAGCCTCTCCTCCAACCAGGGCCCCAAGCTCTGTGCAATTTGGAGGCTGCCTGTTGTCCTGGGGGGTGCTCTAGACCATTCATATTACAGCCGCCATGCCCCAGTGAGATTCACTTCACCCCCTCTGTAAAATGGAGCTAACAGTACCTGCCTTATTCCCTGCGTTGTTTTTATGAGGGTCAAATAACGTGACTGTCAAGTGCCTTACACATTGCAGCACTCTAGTAAGACTGTGACCTTTGCTGTCTCTGGGAAACCACCCTTCTCTCCCATCCTGGGTTGCCTTTTGGGTAAACATGTCCTTGAGTGTGCTGGTCTGCTGGTTGAGGGTGAAAAGGCGTTTATTCTCACTAGCCATTAAAGAAATGCAAAATAGACCCAGCTCAGTGAGCTGCTATGAAATTGTATTTGGAAATTGGTCAGTTTGGCCTGAGCACTGGGGAGCAACAGGAAATGAATTGGAAAGGAAAAGGTGAGGGGCTGGCCTTTCATGCCAGGCCGGGGTCTCTGGGGAGAGACCGGGGAAGCAGGATGACGGGATCGAAGGGATTTGGGAAGTGGCCCTTCCCTGACACCAGTCTGTCTCTGGTCTCTCCAGACCAGGTACAGGTAGTTCTGAACCAGAAGGCAGACCCCAAGACCGTCCTAAGGGCCGCCACACATGGGCTGATGCTTGGGGCCCTACAGGGAGATGGACCCCTCCCAGCAGAACTGGAGGAGCTGAGGAACCGTGTGTGGGCGGGTAAGTGCCTGACGATCTAGACTGCTGATGCCTCGGGGCAAGGAGGAGAGAGGACAGGCTCTGTCATACTGGAGGACACAGAGCTTCTGGTTCTGCACCCCCATACCCAGGTCCTAAGAAAGAGAGCTGGGTCATCGTCAAGGAGACGCACCAAGTGTTGGACGTGCTGTTCCCAAAGTTCTTGAAAGGTAACATTCCTCAGCCCATGGCTGCTTGGCCCCTAAAGCCTTGTCCCTGGGGGCCCTGTCTTCCCCCACCCTTCTACCTGAAAGGTAAAAGACTTGGGTTCTTGGGCCCATTGCAGAGGCTAACACTTATAATTCTAGCCCCTTGGGAGGCCTCGGTGGGCAGACTGCTTGAGACCCTGCCTGGGCAACATGGTGAAACCTTGTCTCTACAAAAAATACAAAAATTAAGCAGGTGTGGTTCCGTGCCTGTGGTTACGGCTACTCAGGAGGCTAAGCTGGGAGGATCACCTGAACTGGGGGAGGTGGAGGCTGCAGTGAGCCATGATTGTACCAACCTGGGTGACAGGGTGAGACCCTCTCTCAAAAAAAAAAAAAAAAAAAAGACTGTGCTGGCACAGTGGGTCACACCTGTAATCTCAGCACTTTGGGAGGCTGAGCTGGCCAGATCACTTGAGCTCAGGAGTTCGAGGCCAGCCCAGGCAACATGGTGAAACCCTGTCTCTACAAAAAATACAAAACAATTAGCTAGGCGTGGTGGTACACAGCTGTGGGACTGGCAGGAGGCTGAGATGGGAGGATCTCTTGAGCCTAGGAGGCAGAGGTTGCAGTGAGCCCATATTGCACCACTGTACTCCAGCCTGGGTGACAGAGACCCCATCTCAAAAAAAAAAAGATGGGTTCTCCCCGCGATCTTGATTGAGTCCCTAAGTTTGGGACTCAGTTTCCCTGTCTCTAGGACAGCTTAGGATGGTCTCTGAAGCAGTGTCAGTGTGGACAGTCTGTGTAATCCCAGTTGGCATGTGGGAAATAGGAGGATGGAGCCGGGAGGCCCTCACATTGATGAGGACGTTTTATCTGGCGCCTGTTCCATCCCAGCGCTCTTTGGTGTGCTATCTCAATGAATTCTTGCTGCAACCAGGTGTGGTTTCAGCCACTGAGGCAGTGGGAACCCCAGTAGTGCACAAAGCCTGCACCCAGCCTGTACATCTCCTTACCCTTGTCCCCAGCATTCCCGGCAGCACCCCATTCTCTCTCCCCAGGACTGCAGGATGCCGGCTGGAAGACCGAGAAGCACCAGCTAGAGGTGGATGAGTGGAGGGCCACATGGCTTCTGTCTCCCGAAAAGAAGGTCCTGTGAGCGGCCCAAATGGAGGCCCAAGCCCAGGACAGAAGTCTGGAGCAAGGACACTTTGGCCACAGCAGGAGGGAGGGAAAGGCAGCTTTATTTTTCCTTAGGGCAACTGCAGTGGCAGGTGGGCCAGGTCCACATGGGAAGTGACTGCCAATCAGATGCAGTGGGCCCCAGGCAGAGGAAGGCCAGGAGAAGGGAAGCCAGGACATTCCTACCCCATGCCCCTGTCCCTTTTCTGTGGAGCAGAGCAGGCTCCTCACCCCCACTTCCTGTGAGGCTGTGGCTTATGGTGTCCAACACAGTTGGCTTTAGGCATAGAAACCCCAGAAGAACACAGCTACTGCCATCATGAGCAGGGCATTGAAGTTGACCACACGAGCCCAGCTTGGGTCCTCGCTGATGTCCTCTAGCTGCCTGGCTGCTGCCGCTGCCTCCTCCTGGGTAGGGGGCGGAGGACTGCCCTCCCCACCCCTGCTCATTCCACAAAACCAGAGCAGGCACTGGCGGAAGTGGCTAGGTGCTGGAGCCTGGGACTCTGGGGAAGATTAATGCCCTGCAATTAGTTTGTGGGAACTCAGCTCCCCCAGCCCCACCTCCCAGCGTGGTGCCCTACCGTCCATCTCCATGGCACGCTCTGGGCACCCATTCTGTACAGGGAGTGAGGAGCTTTCCTGGTCATCAGCATCGAGGTCCTCCCGTTCCTCCTTGCTGTGCCGGAGACTGAAGACCAGGCGATGGAGCTAGGGAAGGTGGGAGCCCAGATGAGGTGGTAGTTCTGTCCCCCGACACCTGCACACCAGCTCATCACTGCCTGCCCTACCCACCACTGTTCAGTCTGCACACCCAGCCCAGGTTCAGCTGTTACCAACTCCACCCTACGTGGCTGCCCTGTGCCCTTGGTACAAACCCTGAGCTTGTGTTTAAAGTTGTTGGCCCTGCTCCCCCAGCTTCATCAGCTCAGGTCTCCTGTCTATACCCAGATGGTATCGCTTGCCACCCTGGCCTGGCATTCCTGCTTACAGTGTTCTGTGTCTGTGTGCTCCCACCCTTTCCTCCTGCTACTCCCAGCCATCCTTCCAGGCCCAGATCTCTTGACCTGCCCCCACCCCACCCTGCTGTCATCAGCCCTGCCTAGAGCCACCTGCCTTTCGGCAGCAAAACTAAACCTTTTTGTGGGCTTTCAAGATGGCATTGTGCCCCACCAGTCAGATCCTGTGTTTTGAGTCCCAAAGGCCATGCCAAGGATTGGCTTTGGGAGGCTTTAATCACCAACCCATCAACATCTTCAAGCCCCCTCCCCCAGGCCAGTTCAAATAAATGTATTTAAATAAAAATGTGCTTACTCTGCAATTGCAACTGCAGCTGGACCCCCAGCCGTCTCCCAACCCTTAGTCTAGAAATTCAGGTCCTCCCCACTGGGCGCTCCAGAAAGCCGAGGGCAGGTGCGAGTGCAAGTGGTTGCTGTGGCCCACAGTGCTTGTTTGGGACACCCGGCCATCCAGAGGCAGATACTCACGTGCTTGCGGGGTATGGGCGCCGTGCACAGCGAGACCGTGAGGGTGAGGAGGCCAGAGCAGAGGAACAGAATGATGGCGAAGTAGAGGTAGTGCACGCCGCAGAGGAAAGCCGGGCAGGCAGAGGGCTGCACACAGCTTCCCGAGCCAAAGGAGAACTCGGGAATCAGGCGTGCCAGGCCCATCAGCAGGCCCCCGATGAGTCCCCAGAAGGCGCCCTAGGAGGGAGACGGGTCAGCCTGCTCAGGATGTGCAAGCCCAGCCCTACTGCCGCAACGCGCGCATGTCGCTCACCTGCTCATTAACGCGCGGCACGAAGAGCGCCAGCACGAAGACTGCAGACACTGGCGGTGCCAGATAGCTGGAGACCGCCTGGATGTAATCAAAGAGCTGCCCGCCTTGCGCCGCCTGCACCACGGGAAGCCAGGCCACCGACACTACCACGATGAACACCACCCAGAGCCTGCAGCGGGGGCCGTCGGATGGAACCCCGGACCCTGGGCTCCCCTGAACCCTGCGCGTGCTCACGCCCCTGCCCCGGACTCATGTGTAGGGGAGGAGGGGAGCCCAGGCCGCACCGTCCCACCAGCAGCAGCTCGCGGTTGCCAGCGCGGGGCCGCAGGCGCGTGTAGATGTCCATGGTGAAGAGCGTGCTGCTGCTGTTGAAGATGGAGGCCAGTGAGGACATGAGCGCGGCCAGCATGACTGCAAGCATGAGTCCGCGCAGACCTGCAAGCCGACGACAGCTATCTTGTTGGAGTCACCAGGGGCCAGGACGGCTGCAGCTGCGCAAGGAACGACCCCTCCCAGCAGCGGGCTCCGCAGCGAGCTTGCGCCTGTAGCCCGGGGCCGCCCTCACCTCTGGGCATGAGCTTCACGACGAGCCGCGGGTAGGCGATGTTGGAGCAGCCCACCTCCGTGCCGCACACGCGCCTGCACACCTCGGGCACCACGCACGCCACCTCGTCTGCCGGAGAGAGGCCACCGCGCGGCTAGGACGGGGCCTGGTCTGGGAATCCCAGGAGGTAGGGACTGGGAATCCTAGCAGAGGAGACGTGCGACCCCCGGAGGGAGGCAGGACTCCACTCCCAGACTCCGGAGTCTTAGGAGAGTGACGGAACTGGGAGACGGGTGCCCGGACGCTGGCACAGGACAGGGGCTGGACGGGGCCCAGGCCTTTCGGGCGGGGTGGGGCGGGGACGCGGACGTTACCCGGGTACAGAACGCGGCTGATCATGCCTGGCATGACCATGAGGAACATGGGCGTCAGCTTCAGGTACCCGCACAGAATGCAGCCCGCCTTGATGTGGGTCAGGCTCTTCCCGGCCAGGCAGCGCTGCACGATGACCTGTAGGAGGAGCATTCAGCTGCCCACGTGCGGGCCTCTCCTCGGCCCCGCGCCGCGCCAGGTTCAGCTCTAATGTGTGCGCCGCCTCTGGCTAGGGAGTGCCCCAAGTTCAGCTGCACGCTTGGAGCAGGCTCCATCTGGTTTAGCGCCACTCTGGAGGGGTTCCCACCCCTCAGACCGCGCCTTCGACCATGGGGGGAAAGGCGGGGAGGGGCTCAGGCTTCGCCCGTCTTGGCTTAGCCCGGACCTCGCTGCAGGCCCAGCCCTGTCCCCCGCACCTGGTCGCTGCACCAGTACCAGCTCGAGACGATCGTGAGCCCCAGGAGCAGCGCGGGCCACGGCAGGTCCCCCGTCACAGGGTGCCGGAGCAAGTGGTAGGAGTCGGGCCGGGGTCGATAGCAGGAGCTGGAGATGTTTCCAACAGCCGGATCCTCGGACACCGTCAGCGAAGTCGCCGCTCCCAGGTATTTGTCGAAGAGACCCGAATACCCGCCCACCTCGTGGAAGGCTGCCGGGCAAGGCCGTCAGGGGACCCTCCTTAGGACCTTCAGGCCGGCGACGCGCGACTGCCAGGCGCGCAGGCTAAGAGCTCCGCCGCCGCCACCGCGCCCTCCGCGCCCCTCCCCGGTGGGCGAGCCCCTACCGTAACCCATGAGGATGCAGGCGCCCCCTAGGATGACGAAGGTCTGCACCGTGTCCGTGTACATCAGCGCAGCCAGCCCTCCTGCAACAGGCCGGGGTCAGGGGACAGTCCAGCTGTTTATGTTATAGACAGACTGGCCCTAGCAGGAAGGTATCTTTGTGGGAATTTTAGAGAGTTCCCCTTTCTGGAGAATAAATTTCAAAATGATGGCCCATTCTCGGGACTCGTGCACTCGGGGACCAGTAAGCAGGCTTTGGCAGGCAGAGTGGCTGAGTTTTAGGGCCAGGCACCGACTTGCGGAACCCCCACCAGCAGGCCTCTCTAGGCCCTAGTTTTTTCTGCCTCATCATAGGAGAGAGTGATTCTCTAAGGTCCTATACTCAGTTCCATATCTTCCCAAGGTGGGGCACCTCAAGCTGGCCTTGGCATCAGGACCCCCCTACTCTGGTCGGCATTTGACCTCAGGTGGGGTCCCTCTGAACCACGCCGGGTTTGGCCAGAGATCTTGGCGACTGGTCAGGTGCGCTCTCCCAGGTGTTCAAGGCAGGCAAGAGCTGCTAAATCTTGCTTTTCTCCCAGTCCTCACTCAAGCCCAACATGGCATCATCTTTCTGAACTTCCAGTCAAAGTCCAAGAGACAGTGGAGAGGGAGGAAGCCTTTGCTTTCCAAAGGTTTAGTTCCTTCTGCCTGGACCACGCCACACTTCCAAACCTCTCCAGCCCGCTTTCCTCTGGCGAATCCCTAAACCCTAGCCACAGCTGGCAGCCGTGTCCCAGGCCCAGTCCCTTCCCTAAGGCCCTGCTAGCACCTGTCACCGTGTAAATCATGGTGATGCCCAGAAGTGCGATGACAGAGGCGTAGATGTTCCAGCCCAGAGCCTGCTGGATGAATACAGCTCCAGAGAACATGTCCACCTTGGGGGAGGAGCAAGTTGCAGGTCAGGACCCAGGGCAGTGTCCTGGGCCACCTCCTGCCCAGGCCACCCCCTACTAGCCTCAAAGCTTCCCTCTGTTTTTCCGGGTCCCAGCACTGTGGCTGGTGCCCTGGACACATTGCTTGCAGGCTCTGCCTCCATCATCATGACCCTTGCAGTAGTTTCTCCTTGATCCCACGACCTCCAGGATTCTCTAGAGACCCCACTCGAGGCCCCACCCTTCTAGGGCCCCATCCCGTCAGCCACGTGTGCTCACCGAGATCTTGGTGAAGATGTACAGGAAAAGAGAAAGCACAGACAGGTAGAGGCGGATGCGATGGCCGCCGAAGCGCTTTCGCAGGTACTGTGGCATCGTGATGACCCCTGCCGTCAGGTAAACAGGTGCAAAGAGCCAGCCCAGTAGCAGCACCACGAAGAGTGCCTGCGGGGGCAGCACAGCCGCTGAGGGTGGCTCTGCTCTCACCCCCGAGGATCTGACCTTCTCTTCCTGAAGGCGCTACTCCAAGCAAGTGGCCCTGGGAAGGTCCACACCTGGGGCCCAAAAGACAACTGAGGTGATGGCCCCAGGGCCTGGGCACTAAGGAACAGAGCTGACACTCTCCTGGTCTTAACTGGAGCTCTCCTTATCTCTCCAGGCCATCACTCCTGGTCTGTTTCTCCCAATGTTGTCCCTATGTTTCCCCATCTAGATATGAACCCCAGCATAGACCCCTCAGACTGACTCCAGCCAAAGCCACCCAAACATTGTGCTCCCCAAGGCTCAGCTCAGAGGCCTCCTCCTCCAGGAAGCCCTGAGCTCAAAGCCAATCCCTCCAAGGGGAGCCACAGTCTCAGAGCTTTGTCTCTGCTCCTCACTTCTGCAAATGGCTTTAACTTGGCCCCAAATTCCTCGCAGACCACAGCTTCAGAGTACATCCGAACAGGTGCTTCCCTGGCTTTGATGCTGCCCACCCCACTCAGAGAGGAGCAGATGGAGGTTCCCAGAAGCAGTGGCTGGTGCAGGCTGGCTCAGATGGGTCAGGAGCAGGACCTAGCCCTGCCCCGACAGTGGTCACCCCTGCACCCCTCTACCTCCCGGCTGGATGTCTGACCTCCACTCCCAGCCCAACCACACCCCTCTGTTCAGAAGTCCCACTGCCAGTCTCATTTCTCCTTTCCTGGAGCTTCCCCAAGGTGTGACCCTTCCAGGGGTTCTCGATGGAAGTGGGATTATTGGGAAAAAGGGGCCTCACATTCCACTCGAATCCAGCCACAGCCAAGCCGCCTGCAGCACCAGTCCCTGCCAGGCCCACAAAGTGGCCGCTACCGATGTTGCTGGCGAAGAGAGAGGCCCCAACCTGGGTGGCCAGAGGAGAGGGTGAGCGGGGCTGCTTCTCCAGGCCCCCTCCCATTCCCGGCCCAGCCAGTCTCACCGGCCACCACACCATGCTGCGTCCAGCCAGGAAGTAGCCACCCACGGTGCCTCTGTTGATTCTGCACATGGACTAGGAGACAGAGGCAGGGGAGACCTGGGTTTGGGGCGCAGCCTTGGACCTCATTAGCCACCTCAACACATTCCTCAGCCTTGTTTCAGGCTGAAGATTAACCTGCCAAGCTTCCCTGATCATTTGTACACCCCCAACTCCTTCCAGACACTCGGGCGACCCAGGTTCTAATCCCAGTGTCCCATTCCCCAAATCTTTTCACAGATTTTTCCTTTTTCTTTTTATTTATTTTCATTTTTTGAGACAGAGCCTTGTTCTGTTGCTCAGGCTGGAGTTAGGGGTGTGATTTCGGCTCACTGCAACCTCCATCTCCCAGGCTCAAGCAATTCTCACGCCTTAGCCTCCCAAGTAGCTGGGATTATAGGCATGCACCACCATACCCAGCTATTTTTTTTTCTTCAATATATTTTAGTAGAGACAGGGTTTTACCATGTTGGCCAGGCTGGTCTCAAACTCCTGGCCTCAAGCAATTCACCCACTTCGGCCTCCCAAAGTACTGGGATTACAGGAATGAACCATCACACCCAGCCCATATCTTTTTTTTCTTTTTAGAGACATCTTACTCTGTCTCCCAGGCTGGAGTGCAGTGGTGTGATCATAGCTCACTGCAGCCTTGAACTCTTGGGCTCAAGCAGTCTTCCCACCTTGGCCTCTGAGTAGCTGTGACTACAGGAGCACATGCCACCATGGCTGGCTAAATTTTCACTTCTCTTTCTTTATCTCTCTTTCTTTCCGCCCTTCCTTCCCTCCCTCCCTCCCTCTCTCCCTCCTTTCTTTTTCTTTCTTTCTTTTTCTTGCTTTCTCTTTCTTTCTCTCTCTTTCTTTCTTTCTTTGAAACAGGGTCTCATCCAGGGACAGTGGCTCACACCTGTAATCCTAGCACTTTGGGAGGCAGAGGCAGGAGGAATTGCTTGAGCCTAAGAGTTCGAGACCAGCCTGCGCAACACAGTGAGACCACCTACTCACTTAAAAATCAATGCATTTTTTAAAATAAAAAAGAAATGTGGTTTCACCATGTTGGCCAGGCTTGTCTCAAACTCCTGGCCTCAGTGATCCCCCTGCCTTGGCCTCCGAAAGTGCTGGGATTACAGGTGTGAGCCACTAGTCCCATCGCAGCTCCTCAGGATTTACTGTGTGTGGATTTGGCCTGATCTTGCTGGGAGCCTTGAATATTTTCTGCTGGTCAGCCATAAGTGGCCAGGGGAATGAGACCCTGTTTAGAATATCGACCCTGACAAAAATCCATGGACCCCTTCACTAGCACAGTCCCAAGGTGGGCAGACAAGGAAGGAATGTTGGCTGGGCCTCCCTGAGGCCCTCCAAAGACCTGCTTGTCCCCAGGTCTGGGTTTGTCCTTCAAAGATCCAAGCATCCTTCCCCCACGTAGGGTCCCCCGAGACTTTTCCCCCAGGCCCCAGAAGCCAGCAGCCCCCAGCAGCACCCCCTCAACTTCTCACCCACAAGCCAACACCGATGACCAGCAGGAAATACACAGCGATGACTAGGATGTCAGCAGGATTGTTGATCAGAGCCCTCTGGGCCCCCAGCTCTGGTGCCGAGACTGCCTGTGTGTGCTCCTCCATTCTCCCCAGGATCTGCCCCATCCACGGACAAGCCCCTGGATTCCCCCAGGGGAAGGATTAATGGTTACCTCAGGGGCACTGAGCCGAAAAGTCCCCCAGGTCTTGTCCCCACTCCCCAGCTTTGTTTAGCTGAATCAGGTCATATCAAGGCCGAAGGCTGGTCCTGGGGAGTTGGGCCCTTCCAGATTCAAGAGCACTCCTTCCCGGGCCTTAGCCTCCACCCTCTCCCCGGTGCCCCAGGCTCAAAATCACCTCTTTTGCTCCCTAAAAATGCATCGCTTCCTTCTTGGGTAAGCCAGCACCCCTGGATTTAACTAATCCAGAGGAATCATTTTCAAACCCAAGTCTGACAGGGTCACTCCACCCTCCTCAAGAACCCTCCATAGCTCCCTATTATACTCAGGAGGAAGTACAAGCCCTTCAGCCTGATTTCCAACATCTGCCATGCCCCAAGTCTTCCTCAGCCTTCCCCTGCTTCTCCAAACCAAATCTACAGGAAATCAGAAATCTCTTCCCACTCCCTTAACCTACCCAGCCCAGATTTTTGCTTTTTGCTTTTTTTGCCTGGATATTTTCATCCCCATCGAATCCTTGCACAAGCTGTATCTTTTGTTTAGAGTGCTTCCCTGGCTCCCAAATGACAAACTCCTACTCAGCTTTCAGTACCCAGCCTTTGTCACCACCTCTTCAAGAAAGACTTCTCTGACATTTTTTTTTTTTTTTTTTTTTTTTGAGACAGTCTCACTCTGTTGTCAGGCTGAAGTGCAGTGGTGCAATCTCGGCTCACTGCAATCTCCGCCTCCCAGGTTCAAGCGATTCTCCTGACTCAGCCACCCAAGTAACTGGGACTACCGCCACTGTGCCCGGCTAATTTTTGTATTTTTAGTAGAGATGAGGTTTCACCATGTTGGCCAGGATGGTCTCAATCTCCTGACCTTGTGATCCGCCCGCCTCAGCCTCCCAAAGTGCTGGGATTACAGGCATGAGCGACCGTGCCCGGCCTTCTCTGACATTTTTGATGCAGTTCTGTGCACACTTCATGGTCCTTGCCTGGGTCCAGGTCTGCCTCCTCAGCAAACTAGAGAGTCCTCAAGAGCAGGATTGGCTGGGTGTGGGGGCTCATGCCTGCAATCCTAGCACTTTGGGAGGCTGTGGCGGGGGGATCACTTGAGCTCAGAAGTTGGAAACCAGCCTGGGCAGCAGAGTGAGACCTCATCACTCAAAAAATAAATAAAAATTTAAACGAGCAGGACTTAACCTGATTCATCCCTGGAGTCTCATTGCTCAGCGCAGGACTGGATTCAAGAAGGCAGAGGCTGGTTAATATCTGTCTGTGTGTCTACCTTTCTAGAAGAATTGACCAGACTTGGATGTCAGGAGACAGTCAAAGGGAAGTCCTGCCTGATTATGGTAGCTATGGTCATCCGGAGATGGGGAACAGAGAAAAATACTTCAGGGTTGGAGTGTAGTTGAAGAAACCCTAGATTGGGTTCCTCTAAAAGGAGACCCTGAGATGAGAATTTGTGTACAGTGACTTTCCAGAGGAGGTGATTCCAGTATGGACGTCGAAGGAGTAAAGAAGAGAAACAAACAAGAAGGCCGGGCGCGGTGGCTCACGCCTGCAATCTCAGCACTTCGGGAGGCCGAGGCGGGCAGATCACGAGGTCAAGAGATAAGAGACCATCCTGGCCAACATGGCGAAACCTTGCCTCTACTAAAAATACAAAAACTAGCTGAGCGAGATGGTGCGTGCCTGTAGTCCCAGCTTCTCAGGAGGCTGAGGCAGGAGAATTGCTTGGACCCAGGAGGTGGAGGTTGCAGTGAGCCAAGATTGTGCCACTGCACTCCAGCCTGGTGACAAAGTGAGACTCTCTCAAAAAAAAAAAAAAAAAAAGGAGAAAAGCCAATAAAGCATGTGTTTTTTTCATTTAAGACGGGGTCTCAGGCCGGGCACGGTGGCTCACGCCTGCAATCTCAGCACTTCGGGAGGCCGAGGCGGGTGGATCATGAGGTCAAGAGATCGAGACCATCCTGGTCAACATGGTGAAACCCTGTCTGTACTAAAAATACAAAAAATCAGCTGGACATGGTGGCGCGTGCCTGTATTCCCAGCTACTCAGGAGGCTGAGGCAGGAGAATTGCCTGAACCCAGGAGGCGGAGGTTGTGGTGAGCTGAGATCGCACCATTGCACTCCAGCCTGGGTAACAAGAGCGAAACTCCGTCTCAAAAAAAAAAAAAAAAAAGACGGGGTCCCATTCTGTCGCCAAGGCTGGAGTATAGTAATGTGATCACAGCACCCTGCAGCCTTGACCTCCTGGGCCTAAGGGATCCTTCCACCTCAGTTTTCCAAATAGCTGGAACTTACAGGCACACTGGGCTGATTTTTGCATTTTTTATAAAGATGGGGTTTCACTATGCTGCCCAGGCTGGTCTCAAAACTCCTGAACAAAACTGCCTCGGCCTCCCAAAGTGCTGGGATTACAGACGTGAGCCACGGCACCTGGCATGAGGGTGTGTCATTTAACAGGTTACCACCAAGAGCAGTTGGAGCCTGATCCCAAAAAGGGCACTCTGAGACACTGAGAACACCCCATAGCAGTGATCCTTCAGGGGCCACGTGGTTGGGGTATTATTTCCCAGTTTGTATCTGTCACTGCTAAAAGCTGCAGAAGCGCCCCCACACACTTCAGGGTGCTGGGAACACGGGGCACGCTCCCTTCTCCTGAGAGCAGCCTCAGACAAGAAACCCCGGGAGGAGCTGCAAGTCAGGGTGTCTGGAAACTGTATATGATTCCAAGGTGGGCCATGCAGATATAAGGGTGAGGCACCCGCAGTGTCTGCCTCAGGGGGTGATGAGTTTAAAACGCCTAAGAGAAATCCAGCACCAAGTGTCAGAGGACACGTGTGTGTTGCAGACAGTTCGGATAAGGTCTCTTCACCACAGCCGTCATGTGACATCTCCCCCTCCTGCTCTCCCCATTGCTGGCTCCAATCCAGCCACAGTGGCCTTTTCTTTCTTCCAAGGCATCAGACTCTCTCCTCCCTGTCCTTTGCACCTGCTGCCTATCTGCCGGGAATGCTCTCCTTGGCGCTTTGTACGGCTCCCTCTCAACTTTCGGCTCTTCGCAGAGACCTTACATTTCACTACCTGGTGAAAGTAATCTCTTCCCACCTCCCCTAACTTAATTCTCTATTTCGTCCTTTGTACTTTTTCTTTCCTTTCTTCCTGGTTCCTTCCTTCATTAACAAACAAGTATGGAGACTAGCTATGTACTGGACCTTGTTCTAGAATCAGGGAGAAAATGGTCAGCAAAACAAACGCACTGCCTGCTCTCGGGAGCTTCTGTTCCAGCTGCAGAGTCAGACGGAAGCCGGGGGCCAGGCACGGTGGCTCATGCCTGTGAACCCAGAAATTTGGGAGGCTGAGGCAGGGGAATCACCTGAAGTCAGGAGTTTGAGACCAGCTTGGCCAACATGCTGAAACCATGTCTTTAATAAAAATATGAAAATTAGCCAGATGTGGTGGTGCATGCCTGTAATCCCAGCTACTTAGGAGGCTGGGGCAGGAGAATTGCTTGAACCTGGAGGTTTAACCTCAGGAGGCAGAAGTTGCAGTGAGCCAAGACTGTACCACATCACTCCAGCCTGGGGGACAGAGTGAGACTCTGTCTCAAAAAACCAAAAGCTTCTACTTGCAAGAGCGCTGTGTGCTAGGAAGGAACTAGGGAGGGGCCATAGCACGGAAACCAGGGAAGTGTTGGCTTTAGCTAGGCAGTTGGGAAGGTCCCACTCCTTCATCATACGTGTCACTTTTGTATTTGCCTGTCATCTCTCTCCCCTACTAGACTTCAGCTCCCTGAGGGCAAGGGGCATAGCTGCTTGGTTCCCCATTGTCTCCCCAGAGGCTGGCACAGGAGGGCTCAATAAATATTTGGTGAATGAATGAATGCCAATTTGGGCATCCTCAAGATAGAGAAGTGGTTACATGCCAGAGGGACATTCTTCAGGGACAATATGTGGAAGGGGAAGAGCAGGAGACCAGGGAAGACCACAGGAGAGGAGCCTCAGAGAGGAAGCGATCGGGGGCCTGACAGAGGCTGGGGCCGAGGACACCTCACCTTTTCCTGGTGCCCATACATGGTCTCTGCAGCTGCTAGCTCTTCCTGATGAGCTGGAAAGGCCTCTGAGGACCCATCATTTCCAGCACCAGAGGTGCCTAGACTCTGGACCCAGGGGGTCACCCTGGGACATGGAGACTTACATAGAACCTGAACTCCTCCACACCTGAAACCCCTGGCCCCATCCTCCACACCTGAAAACCCCTGGCCCCATCCTCCACACCTGAAACCCCTGGCCCCATCCTCCACACCTGAAAACCCCTGGCCCCATCCTCCACACCTGAAAACCCCTGGCCCCATCCTCCACACCTGAAAACCCCTGGCCCCATCCTTCGCTGTTGGGACTTGGCTCAGGTCCCAGGTGTCAACTCCTCCAGGAAGCATCCCTTGACTCCCAGTCTGGGTTAGAAGCCACCTTCTGGCTTCTACAGCTCCCAGTGCTTCCCTCTGTCACACCCTGGCCACACCAAGTGTCATCTTCTGCCCAAGTATTTGCCTTTTCAGCCTGGGGCTCTGCAGAGCAGTGAGCCTGACTCATCTCTGGACTCAGCAGCACCCAGCACAGGGCTAGGCCAGAAGAAGCCTCAGGTAGTGGCAGATTGACCAGTAGAGACAGTAAGTAATGGCTGTAGACACGATGATTGTTCTGCCTTGACTGGGACACCTGAGGGTGGGAGTGTGAAAGGGTTAAGTTGGGGCCATGACTACATGAAACATACAGGTGATCTGAGATGTTGTGGCTCAACAGTAAGAGAGAAGTTGTACCTTAGTGCCCAGAACCAAAAGGTGGGCACAGCTGGCACTCTGCATACAGCTCCATCCCTAAAGGCCCTTTAATAGGGGGAAAAATCTGGGAACCAAAGGCGGTGCAGGAAGGGGAACAGATTAAGTGCTTATTTCCTTCTTTTATTTATTTTTTTTGGGACAGAGTCTTGCTCTGTCACCCAGGCTGTAGTGCAGTGACATGATCTTGGCTCACTGCAACTTCTGCCTCCCGAGTTCAAGCGATTCTCCTGCCCCAGCCTACTGAGTGGCTGGGATTACAGGCATGTGCCACCATGACCAGCTAATTTTTGTATTTTTAGTAGGGATGGGGTTTCACCGTGTTGGCCAGGCTGGTCTCAAACTCCCGACATCATGGTCCCCTCACCTAGGCCTCCCAAAGTGCTGGAATTACAGAAGTGAGCCACCATAAGCGCTAATTTCAAGACTATAGGGAGGGACAGGCACAGTGGCTCACACCTGCACTCCCAGCACTTTGGGAGGCCAAGGCGGGAGACCGCTTGAGCCCAAGGGTTCGAGGTGGTAGTGAGTTACGGCAACAATGCCCTCCAGCCTGGGAGACAAAGTGAGACCTCATCTCTTAAAACAAAATAAACAAAAGAATAGAGCTGCAGAAGAATGAGGGCGGGAGATTCTGTGGGGTCCCAATTGGAGCTCTTGTCCTGGCTCTGCCACTATTTGTACAGTCCTGCGCGGGTCGCCGCCCTTTCCAGCCTCAGGCTCATCTGATACTTGATGTAGGAAGTGCAGAAGCGGCCACTTTGCAAGGGCTGAGGCTGCAGATCCCGCTGCAGCCACCGGGCAGTGGCCTAGAGACGGCCGGGGACGGAGCCAGCGCGGGGGCGGGGCGTCAGGGCCGGGCTCCTGCGCGCATTGAGAGACAGCACCAGAGAGACGTGGAATGGGCGTGTTTATGTAGGTAGAAAAAGTGCACAGAACAGTGAGGGTGCAGGGAGCAAGGGCGTCCTGGCCTGGCCTCAGATTCGCTGGAATTGCAAGGACTTTCCCCTAGTCAAGGGGCTCCCTCAAGGGTGGGAATAGAGTGGAGGCTCGCGCAGGAGCTCTCTGTGTGCGATCCACTTTGGGGGCGTGTGGGTTTAGGTCTGGCTGGGCCTCTTCTGAACTTGACCCCCCGAGGACTCAGAGTACCTTAGGGGCGGGGCTCTCCATTGAGTGGGGGCTCACCCTCCGAGATCAAGGCCTCGGGGTCTGGAGGACCCGGCTTTTCAGGGAGGGCGCGGCCTCCGGGGGAGGGGGCGAGCCGGGCGGGCTGTCAGCCGAAGAGCTTCAGGAAGCAGGGCTGGCAGTAGGGCTTGCCGGCGCGCTCCTGGAAAGAGCCCTTGGTGAGCGGGCGCAGGCAGAAGGTGCATGTGAAGTGGTCCGGGTGGAAGCGGCGGCCCAGAGCCGACACGCAGCGGCCGGTCACGGGGAGGCCACACGTGGCGCACAGCGAGCCGCGCCGTGCGTGGAAGTGGTTCTCGCACAATGGACGGCCCTCGTGCTCGAAAAAGCTGCCTCCCGAGAAGGGAGCGAAGCATTCCTGGGGAAGGGAGGCCGCAAAAGAGGACAGACAGGTCAGCGGCCGGAGCCCCAGCCAGACGACGCGCGTTACTATCGAATGAAGTACGGGGACCCAGCAGCCGGCCCTAGACACGAAGCTACCTGACCCTGCCTGGAAAACTCGCCTCACCCGAGGCACCTGGCAGCGCCTCCCGTGACCCGCCCCTCCAAGGCCGCACGCCACGGCCCTGCACCCTTGACCCGCCCCTCCAAGGCCCCGCCCTACAGCCCTGCGCCTTTGATCCGTCCCTCCAAGGCTTCACCTCACAGCTCTGTACCCTTACCGCTCCTCCAAGGCCACGCCTCACAGCCCTGTACCCTTGAGCCGCCCCCCAAGGCCCCGCCCTGGCAGCCCTGCATGCTTGACCCCCGCCCCCGTTCAAGGCCCCGCCCCGCAGCCCTGCACTGTAGACACGAGCCCCGCCCCACAGCATGCACCTTTAACCCGCCCCTCCAAGGCCCCGCCCCATAGCCCTGCACCCTTGCCCTCCCCTCCAAGGCCCTGCCCCCTCGGGCGCACCCGGCAGACGAAGCAGTCCGGGTGCCAGAGCGCGCTGAGCGCCGAGATGTAGTTATCCAAGATGGGGCCCTGGCAGCCCTGGCAGCGCGGGGCGAACAGCTGCAGGAAGTCCCGGCGGCAGTAGGGGCGGCCCTCGCGCTCGTGGAAACCTAGGAGCGGGAACCGAGTGGGCTGAAAGCAAAGGGTGCGACCGGGACAGGGGACCCAGGAGACCTGAGATCTGGGGCTTAAGGAGGGGCAGTCCTAGGGAGCCGTGGGGAAGGAGGAGACGGGTCTAGGCCAGGGCAGAGCGGGAGAGCTCGGGTCTATAGCCTGTGAAAGAGAGGCAGGGCCAGAAGAGAGCAGGAGGAAAACCAATGCCCGGAGGACTCCGGAGGTCAGAGGGGCTGGGGACCCGCAGCTTTTAAGGTGGGAGTTGAGTCCACTCTCACCCTCATCTCCGAAAGGCTCCCCGCAACTGACGCAGCAGAAGTGCTCTGGGTGCCAGTGGGTGCCCAAGGCGGTCACCATCTTCTGCAGGGAGGGAGGGAACACTCAGCGCGGCCTCCGTGCCTTCGCGCCTTCCTCTCCCGCGCGGAACCCGAGTGACTGGCCTAAGGCATGCGTGGGGGCTGGGGGGAAGGTCTAACTAGGAAATGGGAGTCAGAAAGGAATAGTGGAGTCCAAGGGGCCGTAGACGTTGCCAAAGGGTAGGGGTGGGATGGGGTAGTGCGAGTGGGGCGGGACCCATGCGGAGGAGGCCAGTCCCACAGCTTTCCGGGTGAGACCGGGCGGGCTCGGTGCGGCGGGGCGGGGCTCACGTGTCGGATGGGTTGGTTGCAGAAGCCACATCTTGGGGAGAAGCGCTCGAAGTAGCACTCGGGGCAGAAAGGGGCTCCATCCTTCTCGAAGAAGCTGCTGCCTCCCAGGGCGGTGGAACAGCCTCCGCAAACGAAGTGTTCGGGGTGCCAGGCGCGGCCCAGAGCAGTCACCACCTGTGAGTGGGAGGTGAGGCGGGGTCAGAGCGGCTCTGACGGCCACATGCTCAGTGAGGCAAGGTTTACACGACGTTTTTCGAGTCTCTGAGCGATCAGAATGAAGGATCCAGTGTTCAAGATCGCACAGCCTGTAAGCGATGGAGATCCAGCTCCGGTCTTCCAGCTGCACTCCATTATTGACCTATATGTGAGGCACACTAGGCACAGCGCTTGGAGCCCACAATACGTTTAAGGGCCCATAAAAACGTTTTAATTTTTTAAAATCAGAATAAGGCCGGACTGGGTGGCTCACACTTCTAACCTTCGGGAGGCTGAGGTGAGAGTACTGCTTGAGACCAGGAGTTTGAGACCAGCCCGGACAACATGGTGAAACTCCATCTCTACAATACATAAATAAAATTAGCCAGGCGTGGTGGCTGGCAACTGTAGTCCCAGCTACTCAGGAGGCTGAAGTGGGAGGATTGCTTGAGCCCAGAAGATGGAGGCTGCAGTGAGACACAATTGCACCACTGCACTCCAGCCTGGGTCACAAAGTGAGACTTCTTCTCTAAGTAAATAAATAACAGGGAGTGAGTGAAAAAATCAGATTTTAAAAATTCGGAATAAAAATATTAACTGGAGGCCGGGCGCGGTGGCTCAAGCCTGTAATCCCAGCACTTTGGGAGGCCGAGGCGGGCGGATCACGAGGTCAAGAGATCGAGACCATCCTGGT